TACCGATAAGTTTTTTTATGGCCTTCCGGGTCCCCAGCCTGTCCCTCCCCGGGGATTGAACGTTTGGTTTTAGTGCGGATGGCGCCAGGTTATTTACATATTGGCTCTTCTTGTTTGTCGGCCGTCGATGCCTAACTGCCATTGTTAGACTCTTTGTAATTTTCTTCTTCTTTCTTATATCCACTCAATCATATTAGGGTATCAAGCTTGTGATGGTGTTTGATGGTGTCTGCTGGGGATGAGTAGAGCTCATCAATGGATGAGTCAATACAGTCAATAATATGTTTTAGGGTTGCTTGTTAGACTGTGTGTAATCCTCTTCTTCTTTCTTATCTCCACTCAATTATATTAGGGTATAAAGCTTGTGATAATGTCTGTGTGATGATGTTTGATGGTGTCTGCTGGGGATGAGTAGAGATCATCAATGGATGAGTCAATACAGTCAATAATGTGTTTTGGGGTTGCACGTGCAGAATGTTTTTAGTCCTTATTCATGAGAATTTGAAACTATTATAAACGCGTATGATTCTTTTGAAATTAACATTTTTTTGTATAATTTTGAAAAAATCATGCGCGTCTATGTTGTTATTGTTGTGTCCAATGAAGAACCTCAAATATCTCCATACATCTCTATCACAGCAGTCGCAATGTCCACTATCTTGGATGTGTAAAGCTGCTGCTCTGGGTCAAGTAAAATCATATGCGTCTATAATAGTTTCGAATTCTCATAACAGATGACACGCTAATGCATCATAATCCTTATTTATGTAGTTTATAGTTGATGGGCAAGAGATGGAATACGTGCAGATGTCTAAACTCTTTACGTTTTAAATTTATATTAAAATAACTACAGACATAACAAACAGAATTTCAGTTCTACCTTCTGAGTGCGTATTTATAATACTGGCAAACAAATAGTTGTTTTTTTCTGTTGTCGATAAAGAAACGGCTGTTCTAGTTTTTGACGTGACAACGTCTTAAATTAGGTTGCGGCTGGGAGTCACTTATGAAAAAGTGTAACGCCCGGTAACGTTACGATGAGTCATCGAACGAGAGTGCTGCGCGCGCAGCGCTAGAGAATTAGGCGCATTGAATCGGCGCATGCTTGTCTCTGTCTTTCTCTTTCTCGAACGTTCTTGGCGTTGGAAAAACAAGAAAGCGTCATAATACAAGTTCACACGTGTGGTTAAAGTATCGTCAGCTGTGTCTGTAGTGAAAATGTGGAGTGCTTAGATTCGTCATTTACAACAACTACAACAATAAAGGTAAATAATTGTACACTGATATTTCATTATCGTAAACTATGATTGATTGATTAATTGTTAGATTGACACAAAAGTTGAGAAACTGAGTTTATAGGTTATGTCATACTATTGATAAATGTTGATAGTGTTAAGTAAATTATTAGTTTAAAATTAATTAATTAATTAATTATTATTTTACAAATTTTAAATAGTTTCAAATTTATTTAGCAAAAATTTGAACCTTCGATCTGAATAAATGTTTTGATTTTAGAATTGATTATTTAAAATTACAAATATTAAGAAAAAGTGGCAGATATAAGAAAACTTTATTTAAACTGTGTTGAGCAAGAATTTTAACATCTAATATAAGTAAATGTTTTAATTTTCAACTTCATCATTTACAATTACAAATTTTATTTAATTTCAAAATTATTTAGCAAAAATTTGAACCTTCGATCTGAATAAGTGTTTTGATTTTCAAATTGATTCTTTAAAATTAAAAATTCATCCATTCAATTTCAAATGTTCAACAGGAATCACCACTCTCAAAACAATGGAAACGGTGCCTTCAACTTCCAGTACTTCAATGGAGACGGAGGATATCGTGCCGTCAACGTCTGCAGTACCTTTCGTTGTTCCACACACCACCTCTACCGCCAGAACGAATGCTCAGCGACAACGTGAGTACAGACAACGAAAAGCCTTGACCAGAACTCCTGAACAAGTAAGAGCCTTTGCAAAAGCGGCTGCGGAGAGGCAACGCAGGTTTAAGCTACGTAAATCTGCTAACATAGCCCTCACCAGCGGTACGTCAGAGTCACCTGCTTCAACGTCTTGTTTTGTGGTGGAGAGAACAAGCGTTCCTGTCGTGGCGGAGAGAACGAGCGTTCCCCTAACTAACGCTCAACGGCAACGTGCATTCCGACAACGTAGAGCAGCATCTTCTCGGACTGATGTACAACCGACTACTTCTTCAAGCCAAACAGCAATACAACTGGAACAATCCACCTGGTATACCAAATGGTCATCGTCAATACGGAGATTTCAATCTACTTTCCTGGACAACGATTTTGGCCATGCTTGCAAGGCCCAGGGTGGGACGTTTACTACAATTGTTTACAAGTACTCCTCAAAACAACCACAGCAATTGGTATATGTAGCCATGAGCCGCGTCACAAGTATCGACGGATTGTACATCATAACAGAAAAGGACTCTCCATTGGTTTTCAAACATGGCCGAGATGGAAACGACTCACAGACTACTCGAGATATTCGCAATGAATACTTACGACTTCGTGGACACACTCTAGACACAATTACCAAACAAGCCGTAAAATTCTGTGACGACGCAACCGACGCTGGACAACTTATTGTAACGAACATCAACTGTCAAAGTTTAAGTGCCCATGCCGCGGACATTGAAACAGATACAGTGATACCACGATCAGACTATTTAGTATTGACTGAAACGTGGATGCGCGACACTTGTGAACCAACTCCAATCAAGGGTTATGAGTGCGTATCCAGGGAAAATAATCGACCTAACTCAGATACCAACGCGGCTGGTGGAGTGGCGATCTATCGTAAATTATCATCGACATCTACGGCGGAAGTGTTCCAAGTTGCGATTACAGACGTAACTCGTGTCATTAAAACCAAGGGTGACATGTGCATGACTGAAGTTACTTGCTTCGCCGCTAATACTAGCTTCAAGTTTATACTCGGTGCTGTATATATTCATCCAGGAGCTAGTATGCAGGATATTGGAATGTTACTATGGCAAGGACTCGGTCCGTACATTCACAACAGCCAGTACGTGCCACCGTTCGTGCAAGTTGATTCTAGTATACCGATTCTTCTGTGTGGTGATTTTAACAAAAACGTAAAGCCTGACAACTCGTTTCTTAAATTCATGAAAAATACGTATAATCTTGATTGCGTATCAAACGTTTCTAAGTCAACTACGTTAAAAGGAACAACTATCGACTTGACTTTCGCAAGACACATTACAGCAGAAACACTTCCTTTCATTTCATATTTCTCCTATCATCGTCCTATCCTCAACAAAATCACTCAAATAGGAAATAGTTAAGTTTAAGTTTACATGTACAATGTTTTAGTAAACAAAATATATTTCTATAGTTAAAATTTGTGCAATTCTTATTTTCATTCAATTCCTTGTTCCTATTGTGCAATTTAATTATATTCATATCAATAAATATTCTACCGTTGTCACGTAAAATCTTCGCCCGTAAAACCGACTTTACAGGCAACCATTGTTTTTTTTTTTGTTTTTTTTTTTTGTGTGTGCTGATTCCAAATGTGCAAACCTTTTCTTTCTATCAGTTCTTGTTTTAGACGTGTATTGTTAGCAACTCAAATATTGAAGACATTTTATCCCCTTTGGCCATGTTTCTATTCCAGTGGTCCAGAGTCTTACTCTGCTTGAAAAATCAGCCAATGCGGTGAAGAAGAAGACACTGCGTTGTGTAGCTCCAGCTGCGTCAAGACAAAATTTTAATAAAGGAAGCAAATTGTGAAAATGATTAATTGAATAATCAATTATATTTTGTATATCTCTAACACAGATGCAGCCAGCAGAATTAAGATGTTTGGTTATATTACGTTTTTCTATCGATTGAAAAAGTGGAAGAGAACAATGGCTGTGTATGCGCTTTGATAAGGTTCTTACAATGTTAATTTTGTGGGAAAAAGGACAGAAGGATGTGTAATGTGTGTAGTTGGGGAGGAAATATTTTTTGAAAAATACTAGGTGTGGTATCTGCTAGGAGTTTGGATTATTAATATGTCTAAGAACGGAATAACTTGATTTTGGGCTTTTTCAATGGTGAAGGACATGTCCTTATGATAATTATTGAGAGAGGTTAAAATTTAATCTATTGAATTCTTGTCGCAAATACAAAAGATGTCATCGACATATCGGCGCCAGAATCCTATGCCGGTTTTATGTTTATCGTTGATTGAATTATCTTTATTGATCATTATTAATTCCGCCGCAATGGTTGAAAACGAGTTTCCCATTGGGGAACCTCGTATCTGCCGGTAAGTCTGAGACTCGCGAAACTAAAAATATTCATCTTTAGGCAAATATCAATGAGGTTTCCTATTATTTGTGCGATGGATGAATCTGTCTGTACATCGGAGAGAAAGTTACTTGCACTGTCTTTAATTAACTGGTGGGGAAGGCTTAAGAACAACGAAACGACGTCATACGAACACATTACGTTGTTGGGACCAGGTTATATTTTCCACAAGTCTTCAATGAATTCCTGTGTGTTGTGTACTGAATATTGGTGTTTATATTGTTTCAGTGATGGGGAGAAAATGTTTGATAGTTATTTGGCTAACAGGGCTGCTGGTGATCTGTGGTAGGCTACAATATGACGTATAGGACGACAATACATTATTGGTTAATGCTAATTCTCTATTGAGGTTATGTGATTACAGTAAATTACAACCTCATCAATAATCTCCGGCTTCTTAATTTGTATTTTACTCTAATCACATAACCTCAATAGAGAATTAGCATTAACCGATGAATTATTATTCATTTTTTAACTTTACTATGTAAATCAGTTTTTGCATATCTTTCTTATATTTTCTGCTTCTTTGTATGTATATCTTTGTATTAAAATATACAAGTATCAGAGTCATCAAGCAACAATTCTTAATCAATTCTGTCACCGTTTGCTTTTGTGAATGGAATAAATACCTAAATATGGCCATTTCTCATAACCATCGGTGGTTCAGTGGTATGATGCTCGCCTGCCAATGTGCCAATGCCACGCGGGCGGGGGGGTTCGATTCCCGGCCGATGCATTTGTTTTTTAAATTTTCAAAACTCATTTATATATTATACAAGAATGACATCCACGGCGCCAATTTATAATTGTAACGAATAGTATTTGAATAAAAGCATTTAATCGGGTAAAACCCGGGCGTTGCCCGGGTCATTCGGCTAGTGTATATATATGGATTAGATTCGAAAAAATTCAGTAGCGTAGTTATACCTGTCGAAGGATTGTTGAGCCCCGAAAGCTTGTATTGCCGACATACATAAAGGAAACTTTTCCCTCAGCGAATTGTATTTCATTAATAATTATACTGAAGGGATTATATTAACAACAAATTCTAGGTTTATTCATAATTTTTGTAATATGAATCTTTCGAATAAGGAAATAGAGGCGTATATGCACCAAATCCATAAGAAATCCTTGCAATTGGCCAGATGGCGATGTTTGAACCAGGATTTTATACCTCCATCCCTACGCATCAAAGATTCAGTCCAGAACCCTTTCTCCATGAAGATCATTCACAATACCCGCCGCCAACTTCTTCGTTCTAGATACCAGGAATGCATTTCCAACATAAGAATTCTGTCCAAATCCATCAAAGATCTTCTGACTCTCACCGCACAACAGGGAGCACCACATGTTCTTACCTCTCTCATAATTCTAATCACATCAAAAATAAGAGCTCAGGATTCTTTGCTTAAGAAGAAACATCAAAAAAAGTTTTCGTTCTGGTCACGAAAATATGGTTTCTTACTTCATAGACCCACAGATGAACACCCTCAAATCGTGAACCTTTCAAACTCGGAACTGTCACAAGCGGAGATTTCGTTGCTATCCAAGGGTCTAAACTATAGGAACGGATCCAACCCAGACAACTTTAAAACCATCAGCGGTGTTGAAGCGTCTATCAAGGACCTTGGCCACCAAGCAAAGAGTGACATAAGACGTCAGGTATCCACCTTACTTATGAGACGGATATCCCAGCAGCATAACTCTCGCAAAGAAAAAACCATCATACAGAGATTAAAAAATCGAAAAGATCTGGTCATCTCTAACTCCGATAAAGGCTCACAGACAGTAATCATGGATACCTCTTTGTGCCGATCCAAAATGATGGATATCCTCTCTGATATCTCTACCTTTGTTCCCCCATAACGGAAGCAGACAAATATCAAACATACCATAACTTTAAAAGAGCTCTATAAGAGCAAAAAAGAAACCAGAGCATTACAACTGATGATTACAAACTATTCATATCAAAGCCTTACTACGGACGCATATATATGGGTTACCCAAAGTTCACAAGCCTAATATCCCACTACGTCTTATTGTAGCCTACCACAGATCACCAGCAGCCCTGCTAGCCAAATACCTATCAAACTTTTTCTCCCCATCACTGACACAATATAAACACCAATATTCAGGTCACAACACACAGGAATTCATTAAAGACTTGTGGAAATTATCACCTGGTCCCAACAACGTAATGTGTTCGTATGACGTCGTTTCGTAGTTCTTAAGCCTTCCCACCAGTTAATTAAAGACAGTGCAAGTACCTACCTCTCAGATGTACAAACAGATTCATCCATCGCACAAATAATAGGAAACCTCATTGATATTTGCCTAAAGATGGATATTTTTAGTTTCGAGTCTCAGACTTACCCGCAGATACGAGGTTCCCCAATGGAAACTCGTTTTCAACCATTGCAGCGGAATTAATAATGATCAATATAGATAATTCAATCAACGATAAACATAAAACCGGCATGGCATTCTGGCGCCGATATGTCGAGGACGTCTTTTGTATTTGCGACAAGAATTCAATAGATTAAATTTTATCCTCTCTCAATAATTATTTAAGGACATGTCCTTCACCATTGAAAAAGCCCAAAATCAAGTTATTCCGTTCTTAGACATATAAATAATCCAAACTCCTAGCATATACCACACCTAGTATTTTACAAAAAAAGATTTCTTCCCCAACTACACACATTACACATCCTTCTGTCCTCTTTCCCGCAAAATTGACATTGTAAGAACCTTATCAAAGCGCATACACAGCCATTGTTCTCTTCCACTTTTTCAATCAATAGAAAAACGTAATATAACCAAACATCTTAATTCTGCTGGATATCCGACATCCTTCATTTTTAAGCATTTTTATAAACCGTCCACGACAAGAAATCCTCTCAGTATCTATCCAATTGTATTATTCCCTTCTTTTCCAAATCCACCGCCATAGCACGAATATTGAAGAAACATGGCATCAATACCTACTTCTCTAATACAATAACCCTCGCAGACAGACTAAGCCATAATATGACCAAAAGCAAAACTCCTACAGATACTCTCAGCAAAAATAATGTAATATATTCGATATCATGCCTGCAGTGTGAAGCTACGTATGTGGGAGAGACGGAGAGAACGGTGAGAATCCGAATGGCCGAATACGAAAGATCAATTAAAAGAAAGGATCCCCGTTCTCTTGTATACCAGCACAAGACAGGCCATTCATTCAATATTGGTGGACCCTCAACCCATTATCAGAATATAAAGAGCAAGCATCAGCTCCTAGTTCTCGAAGCTATACTCACTAAAAAAACTCAAAGCAATCAATAGATCCATAGATTTGCCCGACGTATATCATAGTATAATTCCGGAACCTCCAACCTAATCAATAATTTCCGGCTTCTTAATTTTTATTTTCTGTAATCACATAACCTCAATAGAGAATTAGCATTAACCAATAATTTATTATTATTATTAATATTTTAACTGTACTATGTAAATCAGTTTTTGCATATCTGTCTTATATTACCTGCTCTTTGTATGTATGTATATATATGGATTAAATTCTAAAAACTTCAGTAGCGTAGTTATACCTGACGAAGGGCTGTTGAGCCCGAAAGCTTGTATTGCCGATATACATAAAATAAACATTTCCCTCAGCGAATTGTCTTTCATTAATAATTATACCGAAAGGATTATATTAACAATAAAAATTAACTGCAAATATAATAATAAATACTTTGTTACAAAGCTCCTTCCCTATAGGAGCTGTGACCCACAACTAACAATTATTGTAGATACTGACATGGATCTGACGTGTTTCTGCCAAGGATTCCATCGAAGTCTTGGAACTTTGTCCCTAGTACCTTTGCGTCATTTTTCTTGCGGCGTGAAGAGCAGCTTTGCCGTCGTATCATCTATAGGGACATCGTCATCTTGGAGGGGGTCTTGGCTTTGACACGTCGGTGGAATCCTGGAGCCAATCTCCGAAAATGTAGATTACAGCACCCATGGCCTCTAGGTCTTTTCGGCGATCTTCAGTTTGTCTTCCCTAATTTACCCAGCATCTCCACCAAAATTCCACTTTGAAAATTAGGGAAGACAACTTTGGGATGAGACAACAATTTATTTCAGGCAAGAACAAACTATGAATGATAAATAAAAGATAAGCCAAAGGGGGAAGTGTACAGAGTATAGCAAAATATAAACATAAAAAATAATACTCTGCTGATAAAATAATAAATACTTTGTTACAATATTAAATAACACTTTTGGAATGTTTCCACTTTCAATATACAGAGTGCGCTGCGTATTGTTTGCTAATGTGTGATGTAATACATCACCACATGTTTTACCAGAAGAACTTTCGTCATTCCAAAAACACGTAATACTAATCTCTTCCTAGATAGATAGACATTCCAAACTACTGTCCAGATGTTAGAGTAGCAGGTCAAGATGTCATTCAGTAGATTAGGATGCAATAATACCACAAGACATTTGTTTTAATAGAAACATTCCTAAATATTTCCGTTAAAATGGTTCGAATTGCTCTTGTAGAATCTCCACTATGTGATTGCGTAGGGGACATCAAAGGTGATATCGAACTTCATAAATAGTTAAACCCATATACGATCCTTCGCTGTCATATTAATAAACGTCATATAACTTTCTAAGACCATCCCAATATTATTCAATCACAGGAAAGATAGCATGTTTGTATTATTTTAAAAATAAAATTCATATTTAAAAGTTTCATGAAGATAGAGGCTGCGCCTGGCCGGCATTCATATTTATTTTAAAAATAGACACTTCGGCCAGTTTTATTTTATCAACGTTTCAACAAAAATATATTGTCTTCGTCTCATGAGACATGAATAAAAATGAAGCCTTTGGCAATAAAACATTTGTTTGATTTTTATTTATTTTCCTGACGAAGACAAAAGATTTTTGTTGAAACGTTGAAAAAATAGGACTTTAACTGCCCGATTTGTATATTAAAAAATAAAAATAAAAGTTTCATTTTGTACAAAAACTTTGCGTTGCGTTAACATTCCTTCAAAGCAAAAAAAGAGGAGCTCTTCGAGAATCCTTCCATATTCAGTAACTTGCCATAATCCATCCTATATGTAGATTGTGGTGAGTATCTGAAAGTTTATCTCTTCGATTTGAGAAGCAATAAAGAAATTTAATTCAAAAAACGGTTTTAAAATATTTTAAACATAAAACCCGTCTAGGGATGAGTTTTTTTTTTTTAAGATTTTACTTCGTATGTTATCTTTAGCTTTCTCGAGGTTAAAAGCTCTCTTCTGCAGAAAAACATTATTAACTCTATAATAAGACAAACTATTTCTCTATGTTCGAGATGGGATTCCTCGCAACGGCATGCCTTACGCCTACTAATGTGGAGATTGTCAAATTTTCCTCCTCGCCATGTCCCATACATTCTCAATTGGCAAAGTTCTGGGGTACGTGTGGGCCAGGAAGGATGTCAGCATTTTGAAGGAAGACTCGTGAGATGTTGGCTTATGTGGTCGGGTATTATCTTGATGGGAAATGACATTATTAGTCTGCTCAGTGAATGGTAACAACACAGGCTGCAACACATATTTAATGTATAGCTGATCAGTCATTGTGTCTTGAATAAAGATTATAAGGTTTCTACTTTCATAGCTGATGCCACTCCACACCACGAAGCCAGGGGTTCCTGCTGTATGTCTTTCCACAATACAGTCCCGA